AATGTATCAAGGTGGTACAGTGTAGCGTGTGTCTCCAACTGTTAAGGCTTAATGTTGGCATTCATTTTCTTTCAACATCTATAAAATCCCTTTATAAAAGGTAATAAATGTAAATTGGTTAAAAGCAACTGGTACCTTTATCACTGGAGACTAACAGTAGGAGAGAGAATGCCATAATTAGGGCTTGAAAACAGCATTATAGAAAAATACCCCAAACCCTGAAGGGGAGATGTAACTGGCCTCCTATCAGGGCCCTAAAGGGGAAATGTAACTGATTGCATTTGGCAAAGTTAGGCCAGATGAACAACATTGAGAGCAAAAACAAAAAAGTAAATAAAACCTGTTGGATTAATAAATAAACCTAGGAACTGTTACATCAATCAAGCTACCAAGGGATTACTTCACAGAGCTAGGAAAAAAAAAATTCATCTGGAGGAATAAAAGATCAAGAATACCAAAGGAATTAACTTTTAAATGTAGGAACAAATGGGACCTAGAATACCAGATCTCAAACTTTACTAGAAAGCCATAATCATCAAAACTGTTTGGTACAAGATAAGAAATAGAGTGGCAGATCAATGGAACAGATTAGATACTCAACATAGAGAAACAAATGAGCAGAATGTAATCAGTTTTTGATGAACCCAAAGATCCCAGCTACTGGGAAAAATACTATTGAACAAAAACTATTGGGAAAACTGGAAAGCAGTCTGACAAAAATGAAGTATAGATCAAAATCTCACAGTATATACTAAAACAAACTCCAAGTGGGAACATGATTTAGGTACAAAGTGTAACATCATAAACAAATTGGAAGATACTAGAAAAAATACTTTTTAGATCTTTGGCTAGGTGGAAAATTTATAACCAGATAAGAGATAGGGGGGTTCATCAAAGGTAAAATGGACAATTTTGATTGTATAGAATTACAAAAGTTTGTGGAAAGTAAAATTAATTCAACTAGAATTTAAAAAGAAGCAGAAAATTATGAAAATATCTTCAGAGCAAGTTTCTCTGATAAAAGTATCACTTAAAATATATAGGGAATATATTTAAATTTATAAGAATAGGAGTCATTTCCTGATTGATAAATGGTCAAAGGTTAAGAATTGACACTTTTCAGAGAAAGAAATCCATTCTATAAATTGCCATATGAAAAATGCTTTAAATCTCAGATAATTAGAAAAACGCAAGTTAGAACAACTCTGAAGTAGTACCTCATATTTATCAGATTGGAAAATTTCAAAAAAAGGAAAATAAGAAATGCTGGAAGGGCTGTTGGAAAATAACTACATTAATGTAATGATGGTGACAATGTGAACTGGTTCAACCATACAATAATTTCTCATGTATGTTTCCTTCTTAAACATATCCTACATAAAGTAACAACTGGACCATGTTAGAAATATCAGTTGTTTCATCTAACTGAATTGCATAATTTGGGCTGCCCTTAAACCTGGTAATAAGCTACTAGAATTGGTTATTACTAATTTCAAAAATTCTTTTGGAAACAGTATCATTTGATAAAGGAATTTCGTGAAGTTCATCTCCACACCTTTTGTCATGAACTATTTCTGACATTTTAATAGCAGCAGATCACAGACAATCTTCTATCATGTAGGGCTTTTTAGTTTTTGCAATTAAATAAGAAGTTTCATAAGCTGCAAGTAAATACTTTTCATTGGTAGTAATAAATTTCTCAAAATATTGTTTTTCTTCATTTGAAGATTTTAAAAGTCATTCAAAACATTCCTTTGGTTCTTACAGTATGCTGCATGCTTGGTATTAAGACGTCATTTTAGTTTGGCTAGTTCCATGCTCTCTGCAGCCAAAACTTCATTACAAATTAAGCAAAGAGGTTTTTCTACACCATCATCATTATTAGAAGTAAATCCATATTGCAAAACTTATTAGACATATTTTCTTTTTCTTATCAATTTAAATGTACTATAACCTGGTAGCAAAGACTCTGCTGCATTGTCATTAGTATTTTTTACCTCTTCTGTCTAAATTTAGCCACTTATCCATAACTGAAAAAAATATTTTGGTCCTGAGATAGAAATAAATATTGCTAATAATTTTTTAAATAAATACTAACTTTAATGTATGAAATCACATTTGTTTGTGCTTAATTTAAAATATTGATGTTCATACTTACATACACATATAGTGGTGATGAGGGAGAAATATTATTAAAGGTCTTTTGTCTTTACTTGCTGCAGTTAAACACTTGTGTTTCTGTAAAAGAAGGAGATAACAGCAATTTTAAAAATCAAACATTCTAACACAATATAATCCTAGGATATACTAATTTGATACTTGATATTGAGGAATACTGGTAGGAAAACATTAAAAGTTTTTATTTTTCAAAATTAAACTATTATGTTTCTGTAAGAGCAGAAAACTTTGTATGTACAGTAAAAACACTGCAATTCATAACATACAATAGTGTCGAACCTGAGCTGAGGTGTTTCTGGCAGTGTTCGTTGGTGTTGTGTGGTGTGATAGCATGTACAATGCAAAGTGTGAACGTTGTGTGTTCAGAACTAAGGCTGCAAGGAAGTTGCATGATGTGCAAAGGAAAGAGCTGCCAGACCATCCCAGATTCATTACATGTTTGATTTTTAATTAATTTTTGGTCATTGTGCATTCAGAAAACTTTTACTGTTGCCAATTTTTGTGACCCCCCACATTCAGTTATGCAACCCCACATGGGATTGTGACCCACAATTTAAGAAGCTTTGGTAGAATGTGTCTCCAATTGTTGGGGAGAAATGCTTATACTTCTGTTCTTATGCTATCTACCAAGTGAGTGTCACTTTGCAAAAGCTACCTGATGCTAATTGGTTAAAGACAACATTCTAGAATCTACCTTCTAGATTTTGGTGTCCAGGTGTCCATTCGTGGCTTCTTAGTGGAATTTGATGCTCATTATCTCCTTGTGTTCAGTGCTTCTCAACTTTCCTTTTGGAAGGGCCAAATGACTCCCCAGGTGCTTTCACAATATGATCAGTCGTACATATACAGAATTGTTTTTGGTAGGGTCAGATGAATACCCTGGATGATTACATAGCATTTTCAACCATAGAGACAGAGATTTGTTTTGGTTCTTAGTCACTGTGATCTTCTCAATAGCAGGGAGAAAAAAAAAGTAAACTTTTGTCAAAAAATTTCTTCATTTTCTCATTTACTCTATTTCAACAATATTCTTTGATATACTTTTCAGTGTTATTTTAAAAAATTAATAGTATTTTATTTTTTCCAATTATATGTAAAGACAATTTTTAGCATTCATTTTTATAGAACTTCCAAATTTACCCCCCTTCCCTCCCCTCTTCCTAAAATGATAAGCAATTTAATGTGGTTTACATATGTGCAATCATGTAAATCACATTTCCATATTAGTCACGGTTGTGAAAGAAGAAACAGACCAAAGGGGAAAAAATACCATGGAAAAGTTGAAAATAGTTTGTTTTGATCTGCATTGAGTCCATCAGTTCTCCTTTTCCATCATGAGTCCTTTGAAATTGTTTTAGATCATTGTATTACTGAGAAGAGCTAAGTCATTCATAGCTGATCATCACACAATGTTGCTGTTACTGTGTACAATGCTTTCCTGGTTCTGCTCATTTCACTTTGCATCAGTTCACACAAGTCTTTCCAGGTTTTTCTGAAATCAGCCTGCCTATCATGTCTTATTGCACAATAGTATTCTGTTACATTCATATACCACAGTTTGTTCAGCCATTCCCCAATTGATGGACATCTCTTCAATTTTCAATTTTTTCTACCACAAAAAGAACTGCTATAAATATTTTTGTTCCTGTCGGTCCTTTCTCCTTTTTTATGATCTCTTTGGAATACAGACCTAGTAGTGGTATTACTGGATCAAAGGGTATGCACAATTTGCTTGCCCTTTGGCCATAGTTCTATATTGCTCTCCAGAATGGTTGTATCAGTCCTCTCTCCCCCCACCTCTCTTTTTTTTTATTATATTAGCCAATCTGATATCTCAGTGTAATTCTTAAAAAAAAAATACATTTTTTTTTTTGAAATAGAACATACTGCCTGTAATTGTCTTTAACTACAGGGAAGAGACTGTGTTTCTCCAAGTTGGCTCCATTGCCAAAGAAGGCTGGGCAGTTAGTCCTAAAGCCCCAGGCGAGGTCAAAAACTATCTTCTTCCAGATGGCTGTAGGGAGGACGGTAGTTAGTGCGGAGTCAGCAAATGCTGTGTTGAAGGTTATGCCTTGGTAGGAAATCTTCAAGCTCATGAGGAATTCCTCCTTTTTGTTTTCTATATATGTGATTATATTGTTAGTTCTCTTGAATGCTGAATACATATCCCAAAACTTGTCTATTGCTTTTCAGCATATATATGTATATATGTATGTGTGTATAGATATACACACATACATATATACATATATATGGGGGGAGACAGAGAGAGATTTTGTTTTCATTTGTAAACATGTTCCTAGACTCATTGGTGCTGACCACCAATATGCCCTAAGCCAAGGCACTTTGACTCTCTAGTCCTTAATTTCCTCACTGGGAAATTGAACTAAAGATTTTTCAGTTCCCATTCAAATCTTATGAAAACTACCCCTTTTTTTTTTGCTTCAGCACTCCCCTGGTTGTCCCCCTCTCCCTTGCCAAACTAAAAAATACTTCTGAGAGATGAGCCATGCATTTCCCAGAACTCATCGGGCCATAACAGGTTCTTGTGACCAGACTACCTCTTCCCCAAATCCCCCACAAATATAAGCTTTTATCTATGTTATAACAGCGATGTTGATGTGGTTTAGTCTTTTCAGTCGTCTCCAGATCTTCATTTAAGATACAAGAGTGTTTTGCCATTTCCTCGTCCAGCTCATTTTATAGATGAGGAAACTGAGGCAAACAGGGTTAAGGGACTTGCTCAGGGTCACACAGCTACTACGTGTCTGAGGTCATATTTGAACTCAGGTGTATGAGTCTTCCTGACTCCAGGCCCGAAGATCTATTCACTGCGGTCCCTAGCTGCCCCCTGGTGGCCTTTGATCGAATTCTGATCTGGAGCGTTGGGATCCTGGTGCATTCTGGGAAATGTAGTTCAGGTTCTGTCAGTGCGCAGATCGGTGAGTGCTCGCGTTCATGTCAGAGAAGATTCTCTCCCCCTTCTCCCCGCCACCCCATGCTCGGCCTGGAAGAACGTGGTGTGCGTGCGTGCGTGCGTGAGTCTGTCTGTGCCTGTGTTTGCGTCCGGGAATTTTGGGAATGGTAGTTCTGGTGGGAGAGGGAGTTGGATGTGCGCAGGAGCAGTTCGTCTCTGGCTGGGGTTGATTTTTGCCGTTTGTTCCCGGAGAAGGCCACAGGCAGGTAAGTGAGGGAGGGAGAGCAGCCCAGCCCCCCCGACCTGGCAGAGAAGGAGACGGGGCCTAGAGCCAGTGCGCTCGCGTTCTTGTGAAGGGAAATCCGGACTGCCCTTCACGAAAAAGCTCGGTGCAGTGTCGACGCTCCCGGGGGCTGCCTTGCGGGAGGCCCCTATGGCCCTGGGCGGCCTGGTGGGCAGGGCCGGGGTGGTCAGAGCACCGTAGGGCCAGCAGACTTAGATCTTGGCTAAGGCCCTGATTTCGTCGGGATTCTGGGCCCCAGAGAGGTTAAGTGACTTGCCTGAAGTCACACAGGAAGTGACAGGAGCAGGCTCGGAACCCAGGGCCTTTTTCCTCTGCAGGACTAAGGGTGCGGGCTGGTGGCTCTGGGGACGGCCATGGGGTTGGGGTGGGGAGGAAACGTGGGGGTTAGGCGATCCAGCGACAGTGGTCTCCTTACTGGCCATGACAGTCCATCTCCAGACTCCCAGCATTTTCTCTTGCGGTCTTTCTCGCACTCCTCCCCGCTCTGGGAAGGCACTCCCACTTGATCTTCCTCTTGGCTTCCTTCCCTGCTTTCCTTCTAGATCCAGTGTGTGTGTGCGTAGTTGTTTGCATATCTTTCATCCATTAGCCTCTAAGCACCTTCAACGGGACTGTTTTTTGCCTTTTTGTTTTGTGGTATCCTAGCACGTAATCGATGCTCAATAAATGTGGGTTGACTGATAGGAAACTGACTTGAGAGTTCATCTAATCCAGGGGCTCTAAACCGGTCTGTGTGTGTGTGTGTGTGTGTGTGTGTGTGTGTGTGAGAGAGAGAGAGAGACAGAGAGAGAGAGAGAGAGGGAGGGAGGGAGAAGGAGGGAGATGAATCCTTTGGCAGTCAAGTCAGCAAACATTTATTAAGTGCTTGTTATGTGCCTGACTGAAATTGACTTTGGAGTTCTTCTAGTCTAGGAGTGCCTAACTTTTTATGTCATTGACCCCTTTGGTAGTCAAAGCAACAAGCATTTAAGTGCCTTCTATTTGCCAGGCACTGTACTAAGTCAGAGGGATGCAAAGAAATGCAGAAGACAGTTCTTGCTCTCAAAGTGATACCAGTCTAATGAAGACACAACATGTAACAACTGTGTATGCCAGATATATGCAAGATAAATTGGAGATATATGAAAGAGAAGGTGCTAGAGGTGCATAGAGGGAAGGTGCTAGCATTAAGGGGGAACCTGGAAAGGCGTTTTGCAGTCTTGTAAAATCTAGGGGTATCTTCTCACTCAGAATAATATTTTTAAAGACAAAGTAATAGGATTACAAAATAAACCAATTATATTGAAATAGTTGTCAAAAAAATAGAAAACAAAACAAAACAAAAATAAGTCAGTGGACTCTAGGTTAAGACCCCTGATCTAGTGCAAACCCCTCATGGAGAAGCTCAGAACGTTATTCACCTGCATAGAGTCCCACAGCTAGAAGGTACGTTTGAGCAGTGATTTGGGAGAAAGAGAGGAGTGATTTGGTGGCTAAAGACTAAGGGAAGTTCAGAGTTGGAGGTGAAGATCAAGAGGCACAGATAGGGGTTCCAGATCTCTAGGCCTGGGGTTATTGAGAAGACTGAAGAAATAAGTAGGAAAGGATAACTCTGGGGAGGCTGCCACAGCATTGACTTTGCTTTACTTATCCATAGTCTGCCCTCTGTCCCCTGTTACTTCTCCCCTTTACTCACCACTTCCCTTTCCATCTGCCAGTTCAGATATCTGAGGCTTATGATAGTGCTCCTTGAGGTCAGGGATCCTGTTTTAGCCTTTCTTTGTATCCCCAGAACTTAGCATAGTGCCTGGCTCTTAGTAAGCACTAATGCTAATGTTTGTTGATAATCTCCTTTTTTTTTCTGTCTTTTACCCCTTGAGATCTGCTTTGTTCTTATCTAGAACCTCACTCTTTTGCTCACTCTTTCATTCTCTTCCTCTTTCCCTTTATCACTCTACTAATTTACAGTGTATTTCTTCCTCCCTTTCCAACTGGCCTTCTCTTTTTTCTTTCTTTCTTCAAGTCTTTGCTATGGAGCTCAGCGTATGGAGATACGTACTGTACTGATTCAGAGCACAACCCCTCTACACTTCAGTAGATATTTTTTCATGAATTGCTTTGATTAAAGAAATACTATCATGTTATTGCCAAATTCCAGGGAAAAATCTCTTCAAACTTAGCTAAGCAGATCCTCTAAGTTCAAACTTGGAGTCTTTTTACTTTGGTAGGAGATATATGTCTATGTGTATACATATATTCACATATAAGCATATATGTGTTTATCTGTAAATATGTATTTGCATACATTATATGTTCTTCTGTGTCATCCTGCTGAAGTATCTTATTGTGCTGTGACAGTGAGGCAGAAGGGATCTGGAAAGCTATATCAGTAGAATGTAACTTGTGCTAGATCCTCCCAAACTGGAAAGACTTCTGATTTGGGCATGATAATGGGCTCTATCTCTTTTGTTAGAGGGCCATTGTACCTTTATTCAAAGATGCTGGAAGACTCTTTTCAGCTATAGCACTTCATGAACAACTAAAACATAGAAGCGATGCCACCTCCATTTTTGTAGTGAGTACTAAACCAATGAAATCAGAAATCCTTGAAATAGTTAAGTGTATTGAGAGGGTATAGGAATCCATTCATTAATATTGGTTGAAGAGCCACAGTCCTTTCAAGAAGTATCAGAGATCTGGTTCCTTGCTGGGAACACAGATTTGAGCTCTAGGGTAAAGGCTCTGGCTAAAATAACCCGATTTTTGATCCCAGGTCACGGATTTGCAGGAACATGATGTTGGTAGAGCACAACTCTAGAGAGCGAGAGTCAATCTTAGGAATATGTGGACTGAGACCTTTCACCAGAGCTTCAGGGAAGAGACTGAGATGAAGGAGCAGATCCTGGACTATTTGTGGTAGAGGAATTACTGCTTCATCCTGCTAGGAGAGACAAGACTTTGTTAAAGCTTGAACAGCAAGGAGGGAATAACTGTAGAGTTCTTCACTGTAGTGCTGGAATTGAAAGGTAAGAATTACAAAAGTGTTTGAAGGGAATGGGGGTGGGGGGAAGGGAGAGCGTTATCTGTCCACTGTGAGACAAAGACACATGATGGAGTGTGGTCCTCCTGGGACATCTGTGCTAACCCTAACTCTTGTTTTTCATATTTTCTTTCCTTGTCCTTTCACTTCTCTATCCCCTCCCAAACAAAATACAAATGTTTGTCTTCTCCGAATCTGCTGATACTATCTAGGCTCTAAGATGGTCCAGTTTCCTTTCCTTTCTACCACTATCATATGCTGCTCAAGTTATGGAAGCATTTCTTTTTTTTTCTCATTTAAACCCAAATGAGGTTGTAGTTTTTCTTTTCTTTTCTTTTTTTTTTAAGAAGGAACTTTAAGAAACAAAGAGAAAGTGAAGGCCAAACAGAAAATAAAAACAAAAGCCTGATATCCCAAGAAAGGAATGGAGGGCATTAAATAACCAAGTGGAGGTAGTGAAAAAAACCTGCCTTTGTTCTACTGTTAAATTTGCAATCTGCTGAAATCCCTAAGTCTTTTCCCCATGAAATATGATCTAGCCACAACTTTTCAGAGTAGCTTTGTATATTAAAACAAGATCTACCTATTGAGAAAATCCAGGAGTCAGAGTGGGGAAATTATTTGAGTGAATATCAACATAGAAGCAGAAGTGATATTGTAACTGGAATATACTATACACCACTTGGATAGAAAAAAGAGATAGATGAGAAGTTCAGGAAGCAAGTCAAACTTAAATCTGGTACAGAGGCACCATGTAGTGGTGATATAGTAGTGTTTTAGGTGAATTTATTGGGCTTGCTCTCTGCCGAATACAGAGCACCTAATTAATTAGTTGTTTTGAAGATCCAGAGTAGACCTACATAGCTTGGCAGTAGGTAGGGGCCAAAATTAAAATAGGCTAAACTTCTTCAGGCTGTAGATAGGTTTTTAGCTGCTCACTTTCCAAGTGAAGGTAACTAGAGACAGAGTGAGGATGGTTGGTTGTTGCGGGTCACGTGACAAACAGAAGAGAGTTGCTTGGTGGCAACCCACCTGCCAAGTTACATGATGGGCCCACTAGTGACTACATTTTTCTAGGGCTGCCCAAAAATCCTTTGGCCATATCTTGTGGAGGCCTGATCTAGAGGAAGCTATGAGGGAAATAGCTGTTCTAATCTTAGTGACATGACTGGCACCCTGAAGGTTTTTACAAAGTATAAAATCTCATTAGACGTTTCTTCTAGGAATAGATACTTTAACTCCTTAGAGAACTATTTGCTTTGAGTTTGTTGGTCAATGTCTGACAGAAGGCTTTTGAATACCATTAGAAATAGTTCCCATCATGCCAAATCCTCTCTGAGAGGGGTTTGCTAATTAAGAGCGCTGGATCTCTAGAATACGAAATAGAAGTTTCTTAATGATAAATGACCATATTATCCTCCAGTCAGATCATCTCTCCAAACAGCTCACCATGATGAGCTCATACTAGTTCATATATATCTGTATCTGACACATTAGATACAGTGAACACATATCCTGAAACTCCATGAGTATATCGAATTATGCTTTCTTGCTCTACATTGTGGGTTTTGGATTGGTAGCAGTAATTCATCTTACTAATTTGCCTAACCATAGGGATGAGATTTGAGCTGATATAGATTCCCCAACCCTGTCACTTCCTGCCATAAGGACTTCAAGCCCCAGGACAGCTTCCATGGATTTGAAGAATACCTGCCCTGCCTTTTGTCTTCTGCCTCTGCGCCTCAAAGTAGGCTATTCATCCTGTTTTAATGGGGTGGTAAGAGACATGGTAGACAGATAGACAGAGAGAGTAGCCCTTAGAGCCAGGAAGACTTCTGTTCGAATCTCGTGTCCAGCACATATTGGCTATGTAATCTTGGGCAAATCACTTAACCCTTCAGTGCTCAAGGTAACTCTCTAAGATAATAATTTGCAGAGAAGGTGCTGACCTGTACAAATAGAGGAAGTTACTCTCCTCAGAGATCCCTGTACCAATGAAATCACAGGTCTATTCCCTATCCCTGGGGACATATGAATTGAGGAACAGGAAAGTCTTTGTGGTTTAGAGTTTAGGGAGCTCAGGGAGTCAAAATGTTCACAGTCATAGTAGGGGCTGTATCCAGCCCAGTTTTTAGCTTCTGGTTTTTAATGCATGTAAAATCATATGCAGAAGCCAGGGTGAGGAAAACATCACTCATTAGATGTTTGTACTTTGGAAAATTGTGTGGATACTCCTTTGTAAGCCCTTCATCTAAAGTTTTTTGTCATTCCCCCCTTAAATAAGTTTTATTTTCACCTGTCATGATGCTTTCATGCCTGTTCTTGCTTCATCTTCAGAAAAACTTATGAGGTAAAGCAGGTATCATCTTTCACTTTTTGTAGATGTGAAAATTGAGGGTCAGACAGATCAAATGACTTGTTTAGGTCTCATGGCAAAGTTGGGTATTCTTGGTAGCTGTGAGACTCCTAATCCCTCATTCTGTGACATTTATACTGAAATATTTTTGCATTGCTTTAGTACAGTGCAAATTTCCCAACTTTTTGCCTCTCTCTCACTCATTCCTCTGACTCAGAACAGTTAAACTCTTCCCATGACCTATTCCTTGGAGATCAGAGCATGCTGGCCCAGAGGAGCTAAGGCAGGTTTTCATGCTGTCGTTCAGATAGAACGCTGAAAGTCCTGGAGTTACTGTTTTATCTCAGTTGTAATGTTGTTCAATTCCTTTTTCACAGGAGCCTGAGCCTCTTTCACCCCCTGTTAATCACCAATAGGCTCAGAAGTGTAAGCATCACGTTTGACTGTTCAGCAGGGCCAATTCTTTCATGATGCTATTTTCTATCATTTACACCTCTAGATTGAGTTGCAAACTTAATTTCACAGAGCACATCGGAACCCAAGGTGTGTATTTATTTTGTAAATCCTAAATCTCAGATCTGAGCTCTGTCCTTTGGTGCCCATTATGAACACTGGGACAGTCTTAGGTTCTCAGATACTAATGTTTGTGATCCTCTATCATTGGTCATAAGAGAGGTGGGCTTGTTCCTGGCTTATGTTTGGCTATTTGCTCTATAGAGACCATGTAGATTATACCTTGTTGGGATTAGAAAATATCATTCTTGTGAGTTTGGGAGTTAAAAGGCAAGATTGGATTCTTTCATGACGTTTTTGTTTTCTCCTAGCTCAGAACTCTGCTGCTGTCTCAGAACTCTGCCTTTTCCCAATATAATACAAAAGAGGAAAAGAAAGAGCTGGAAATGACTTCTGTTCTACTTTCAGTTAGATCCCAGGTGAGTAGAGTTTTCCTTCTAAATACCATCTTATTTATCAGAATATTGATATACTTTTTATTTTTTCTTCTTAAAACAATCTTTATATTTTATTGTCCCCCCAATTATGTGTAATAACAAATTTTGACATTCATATTCCCTCCACCTCTTCACCCCCCCTTGAGAAGGCAAGCAATTTTATGTAGATTATACATGTTCAGTCAGATTGATACACTTTTCCTTTGTCTCCTTGATCTTTTTTATTCACTCAAGTCCTCTCTGGGGATCAGAGCCTCATTTATTCTTCCACAGAAGACTTCCTATTCTTAATGATGGAATTTATAGATTGCTAGAGTTGGAAGGGAATGTAGGGAGGATGTAGTCTAATCTCCTCGATTTGACACGTGAGGAAATTGAGACAGAGGTGAAATAACTTGTTCGTGTTCATCACTTTGAGATTTGGGACTTGAACCTCTGTCTTCTGCTTCCTATTTGCAGTGGTCCTTCCACTGTGCCATAGTACTCCCTCTATGAGGGATTCCTACCACTTAACTAGTGGTTTCCCTCATTGTCCTTTCTCCACATATTTAGTCCAATATAGACTGAATTAAATGCTATGAGTCCAACAAATATTAGATCTGATCCCTGTCTTTAAATAGTCACAGTGGAAAGCAATATACACATAAACAAACACACACAACTTGAAAAGTTTAAGTAATAATAGTATAAGAGGGCATGATTCACTGTTGAAACATGTGGCACAGACACGAGTTGAGCTTAGAGAAAGGAGAGGTCCTTGTGGGAGAGAGTGATCAGGGAAGGCTTCCCAGGGTAGGAGTATTCAGACTGCCTTGGTTGAACATTTCAAACTGAATATCTCAGTGACTTCTCAAACAAAGCATGTCCAAAATGTAAACTGTTCTCTTTCCCCACAAATATTCCCCTCTTCTAGACTTGTGTGTTTCTATTGAGGCGTCACCGTTTCTCTAGTCTTTCAGGTTCATGACTCTACAACTCTATAATTATCTTTACTTTACCTTGTCCTGTGTGTCCAGCTTATTCTCAAAACCTAATGTTCCTATCTCCATACATCTCTTGTTGCTGATCCCTTTTCTCTACTCATGCAGCCGCCATCTTAGTTCAGCTTGTCATTAACTCTCACCTAGACGGTTGCCGTGGCTTCCTAACTGACCTTGCAAGTCTCTCCTCATCCCAGTACATCCTCTACACTGCTTTCAAAGTGATTTTTCTTAAAACATATATGACCCTGTTTCTCTCTACTCATTAAATTCCAGTGGCTCCCTGTTGCCTCTAGGATCAAATATTAACCTCTCTACTTAACTTCTAAGGTCCTTCACAACCTGACTTCAGCCTCCCTTTCCAGTCTCATTGGATATTTTTTCCTTTTCTACATTCCGTGATCTAGCCAGACTGACCTTCTCTTTCTTCCTCATATATAGCTCTCTGTTTCCTGTTTTAATTTCTTTGTGCTGGCCATCCCCTGTGCCTGGAACTTGTTTTCCTCTTCACTTCAGGCTCATAGAATCCCTCTATTCTTTCGGGAGTTGGTTCAAGTACCACTTTTTACATGAAGCCTTTGCTGCTATCTTTCCAACTGCTAGTATCCTCCTTCCCAATCTTCCTTGTAGTTAACTATTTGGTATTCATCCTCTTTATATTCATCTTCTACATACTTATTTATGTACTTGTCTCCTGCCTTAGAATATAAGCTCCTTTTGAGTAGAAGTTGTTTGTTTGATTCTTTGTATCCCCGGCCCCTACCTAGCCCAGTGCTTAACATATGGTAGGGCCTTAATTCATGTCTGTTGATTGGTTTATTGATGAGTGAGTAGGGAGTTATAGTTGGGAAATGTGGGGGATGGTATCCCAGACAGAAACATGTAAACACAGACTTGGAAGGGGAAAGGGAAAGGAAGGGAATAAGCATTGATATATCATCTACTACTTGCCTGGCACTGTACTAAGTGCCATACAAATCATATCTCATTTGATTCCTCACAAAAATGCTATGAAGTAGGTGCTGTTTTTATCCCCACTTTACAGTTGAGGAAACTGAAGCAAACAGGGGTTAAGTGACTTGTCCAGGGTCTTGAAGCTATTACATGTCCACGGTTGGAATTGAACGAAAGTCTTCCTGACTCCAGGCCCAGTGCTGTACAAATGGTGTTTCCTGACTGCCTCTAAGTAGAAAATGTGTGTATGGTTTCTAGTAGCCAGTGATGAAATAAATCCTCCTGGAGTGGAGGCTTTATATTTGGAGTAATGGAGATAAAATTTTATATGTAGGTGAGACCATGTGACTGGAGGCCTTGAATGATAGACATATGGAATTTGTACTTTATTTTGGAGAGTCCAAAAGGCATTAGTTATAAGACTGTGGATCTAGAACTGGAAGGGACTTGGACTGGAGGGCATCTAGGTCACCCCTCTCATTTTGCAATTGAAGAAAGTAGGGCCCTGATTGGTTTAGGTGACTTGCCCAGGGTCACATAGGAAGTAAGTTTTCGAAGGGGGGTGTGAACCCAGATTCTCTGCTCTTTTCCACTGTACTGGGATACCCAGGGCAACAGTTTTTTTTATTCTACCACATTTTTCTTTTAAAAAACCTTTACAGGGGTAGCTAGGTGGCGCAGTGGATAGAGTGCCGACCCTGAAGTCAGGAGGACTTGAGTTCAAATGTGACCTCAGATCAAACACTTGACACTTACTAGCTGTGTGACCTTGGGCAAGTCACTTAACCCCAATTGTCTAAAAAAAAAATAAAAAAGCATTTACAAAGACATCATACATTATTCTATAGGTTCTTTGAAGACTCTAGCCCTGAGCCTTGGGCCAAACCAAGGCAGTTTTTCCAGGTTTCTACTTCTTCCACTTGAAACTGGTCCTCAGGACTTCTGCCTTTTGCCTCAGGGCTTTTGCTTATTATGACTATTTTCTTTTTTTTAAACATAATTTTTTTTAAACATAATTTTATTTATTTTTAGTTTTCAACATTTACTTCCCCAAGATTTTGAGTTCCGAATTTTCACTCCATCTCACCCCTCCCCCCACCCCAAGATGGCATGCATTCTGAATACCCCTTCCCCTAGTCTTCTTCCCTTCTATCTCTCCCCCCCTTCTCTTAACCCCTTCCCCTTCTATTTTCCTGTAGGACAGGATAGATTTTTGTACCCCATTTCTTGTATTTCTTATTTCTCAGTTGCATATGAAAACATTTTTTTTTAAACATGTGTTTTAAAAATTTTGGGTTCCACATTTTCTCCCTTCTTCCCTCCCCACCCACCCTCATTGAAATGGCAAGCAACTCAATATGGGTTATACATGTGCAATTATGCAGAACACTTCCATAGTAGACATGCTGTGGAAAACTAACTCTATTTCCTTTAATCCTATCCTGCCCCCCATTTATTCTATTCTTTCTTTTGACCCTGTCCCTCCTCAGAAGTATTTGCTTCTGATTACCCCCTTTTCCAATCTGCCCTCTTCTCTATCATCCCCCTACTCTCTTGTCCCCTTCCCCCCCTATTTTCCTGTAGGGTAAGGCATATTTCCATACCCTATTGAGTGTGTATGTTATTCCCTCCTTAAGTCAAATCCTAGGAGAATAAGATTCAGTCATTCCCTCTCACCTTGCCCATTTCCCCTCCACTGTAAGAGCCTTTCCTTTCCTGTTTTTTTTTTTTTGTGAGATAGTTTACCCCATTCTACCCCTCCCTTTCTCCTTTTCCTAGTATAATCCTCTCTCACCCCTTAATTTTATTCTCCAGATATGACGCCTTCATCTTCAACTCACCCTGTGTCCTCTATCTCTCTGTCTCTCTCTCTCTCTCTATCTATATATATATACATATAATTTTTTCCCTCCAGCTATCCTAATACTGACAAAGGTCTCATGAGTTACAAATATCATCTTTCCATGCAGGAATGTAAACAGTTCAACCTTAATAAGTCTCTTATGATTTCTCTTTCCTGTTTACCTCTTCATGTTCCACTTGAGTCTTGTATTGGAAAGTCAAATTTTCTATTCAGCTCTGGTCTTTTCATCAAGAATGCCTGAAAGTCCTCTATTTCACTGAATGACCATTTTTTCCCCTGAAGGAGTATACTCAGTTTTGCTTGGTAGGTGATTCTTGGTTGTAATCCTGTCTCCTTTGCCCTCTGGAATATTATATTCCATGCCCTGTGGTCCGTTAATGTAGAAGCTGCTAAATCTTGTGTTATCCTGATTGTGTTTCCACAATATTTGAATTGTTTCTTTCTGGCTGCTTGCAATATTTTCTCCTTGACCTGGGAACCCTGGAATTTGGCTACAATATTCCTAGGACTTTTCCTTTGGGGATCTCTTTCAGGAGGAGATCAGTGGATTCTTTCAATTTCTATTTTGCTCTCTGGTTCTAAAATATCAGGGCAGTTTCCCTTGATAATTTCTTGAAAGATGGTGTCTAGGCTTTTTTTTTTTTGATCATGGCTTTCAGATAGTCCAATAATTTTTAAATTCTCTCTCCTGGATCTATTTTCCAGGTCAGTTGTTTTTCCAATGAGATATTTCACATTGCTTTCTAATTTTTCATTCTTTTGGATTTGTTTTACAGTATCTTGATTTCTCATAAAGTCACTAGCTTCCAATTGCTCTATTCTAATTTTTAAGCAAATATTTTCTTCAGTAGTTTTTTGGACTTCCTTTTCCTTTTGGCCAATTTTGGTTTTTAGGGCATTCTTCTCCTCATTGGCTTTTTGGACTTCTTTTGCCATTTAGGTTAGGCTATTTTTTAAGGTGTTATTTTCTTCAGTATTTTTTTGGGTCTTCTTCAGCAAGCTATTGACTTGTTTTTCATGATTTTCTTGCATCACTCTCATTTCTCTTCCCAGTTTTTCCTTTACTTCTCTTACTTGCTTCTCAAAATCCCTTTTGAGCTCTTCCAAGGCCTGGGACTGATTCATATTTTTCTTGGAGGCTTTGGATGTAGGAGCTTTGACTTTGTTGTTTTCTTCTGGTTGTA